AACGGCGAAGCCTCATTTTTAATTCACGAGGCGAATCGGTTGGGCGTGATTGATGACGAGCGGCGCTTGATGAGCCCATCACGAAGACGCAAACAAACAAAAGGGCCACAAGGGGCGGGGGGGCACACACCTCGGTCTCGGGCTTTGTCGCTCAGCAGCACCTCCACCTCCCTGTGCTCCTTCAGCGCCTCCAGCAGGATGTTGCCCTCCTTGTGGAAGAGGAAGAGGAGGGGCAGGGTGACGTCGTCCGTGTTGCGGCCGTCGCCGGCCATCTGGAAGAGAGGCGCCGTGTCGCTGCTGCTTCCTTCGTTGTCGTCTGCCACACAAGGAATTTGAACTTTTTGACGCATTCTGAATATCCATGAGTTAGTAAGCCCTGATATGAATTTGAGTGCACCCCCCCCCCCTCACCCTCCGCTTCTCAAATTTGAGAGAAGATATGGCTGAAAACTTATCCCAAAATGCTCCTCGTGCAACTTGGAATGTGAAATGATGTTTTAGTTTCTCGCTCAGTCCAGCTCCTCATAGCTGTGGCAGTCGACTGTGATGTGATCATTTGCCTATCGATCTAAACCTTTGTTTTCATGTGGAACTAGTTTCATGACTTGGACCCTCGTTGTAAAACGCAACGGCGAACGCTTGTTCGCCTGCGTGTGATGTCACGTCAGCTTGAACACGCAATGAACTGTAACGGGGATTACGGAATCTAACTACAAAACGCAGCGAACCGAAATCGGTTGTTTTAGTGGGCGAAAATAGGCCATTAAACTACAGTTGCGTTTGGAAATGTGGATGACGACAGTATATCGGCATAAAGACTTCAATATTTTTTCTTCTTCTGCCTTGTCCCTTCTTAAACGGATGCTCGTGAATCACAAGTTGTGATGTGGCTAACAATGCGGTATTATGTAACATGGGTTCACGGTCGCGTAAATGTTAGATGTGTGGTGCTGAAGCTTTGCCGATTATCCTTTGCCTGTGTTGTTACACCCCAGTGACAAACAATCAACATGGAAGCCAAGTCTTCTTTATCAGTGCTTTGCTGCCATCGTGTGGCATCTAAAGGCACCTACAAGCCTTTTTTGGAATTCTTCCGATCCAACCGATTATTCCATCGCATACTTGGATAACATTTGAGGAAGTGTTTTTTTTTTTTTACGACGCTAACAAACGATGAAAAATTTGTACTCATTCCGCGCAATTAATTGATGTTTCATTGTTTCTTGTCATGGCAACAAGGGCGTTGGTGGTGGTTGTTGTTGATGTTGTGGAAAACAAGTGTCCGCAAGTACGACACAGCAGAAATCCAATTAACAGCTCATCACACACGACTTATCTGACTGTCTGTCTTGGAGGTAATCCATTTAATGGCCGGCTAATCGCATCAACGGGGGTCATCTTCCTCGTCGCGTCCCGGTCGGCCCTGCGCACCCACCGACGACGATGCCTCCGATGGCGCCGGCCTTCTGGATGTGCCGCGCCTTCTCGGCGAACATGCACTGGCCCCTCTGCAGCAGACATCACACACGACTTATCTGACTGTCTGTCTTGGAGGTAATCCATTTAATGGCCGGCTAATCGCATCAACGGGGGTCATCTTCCTCGTCGCGTCCCGGTCGGCCCTGCGCACCCACCGACGACGATGCCTCCGATGGCGCCGGCCTTCTGGATGTGCCGGGCCTTCTCGGCGAACATGCACTGGCCCCTCTGCAGCAGAGCGATGTGGCCGCGCACGTACTCGTCGTTGGTGATCTCGCTGCAGCCGCTGTACGGCTCGGCGACGGTGACAAAGCCTCGAACCTGCGCACGGGGGGAAATCAGATTGAAGTCAAGACGTGTGCTTTAGTGGGAATGAGGGGCCTCCTTTGACACATTTAAGATGGCGACAACACGTTCCATGTCCCACTATGCACCAAAGGCGTTTGTCTACGTATATTTGACGTCTATGCTTCAATTCGGCGGCAGCTCACCCCCGTGGAGCTTTTGGACAAGTCTGTGCCGAACTGCGCCGGGCCGGCGGTCAGCACCACTCGGCCGAAGAAGGGATGCGAGACGATTTGAATGGCTCGGGGAGGCAGCTGCTCCTTCTGCTGCTGGCTGGAAAGCTCCATCATCTCCTGCATGAAGCGGACACCGTCCTCCGCCGCGATGGGGCTCACAGCCTGCGTGTGAAAGAAGTGACGGCAGAGAAAAGGTGTCTTCAGCAACGTAGCGTCACTTGGTCGATTTGAGTCAAGTGAAATAGGTTTGGTTTTTTTTTTTGCAGGGGTGCTGGAATGGAGTATAGTTTTTCCACCTACTGCCAGTTATGCAACACAATCCCAGTTTTGTGTGGAACTCAACAATTTCTCACCTGAAAGACGGATGTCCAGAACGTTTTGTGAGTAGCGTACGTGGCTTGGTTGGGAAACATCGGTCTAGACACCGCCAAATAAAATCTGCCTCCTTGATCAGAATCGTTTGTGGTCAAGAAATGTCAGAGACAAGTGAGGTAAAACGAGGGTTGCTAGGCTTGTTTTGCGTTTACACATATCATAGTTGTATGAATAAATGATCTATATGTATTCCACTTTTGCCAGAAGGCAAAATCCATAAAGATTTTTTTTTTAATTTGGCACCGATTTTTATTATTATTTACTATTTTATTACTTTTTTGGAGCAAATTCAGTTAAAAAAAAACATGCCATCAACGGTGTTTTGCTGTATACACAGGAAGCCCACTAACCTGTTTTTTGGGTTTGATCACGTGATCGTCCCCTTCTCGCAGGTTGCCTCTCCAACATGATTTGAGTTGTATTGATTATAATGAAATGAACATTATTATTATCAACTATTCTTTACGATTGTACGCGTTAGGAACACTCAAACATTGCCTTGACATTTCATAAAGGGTGTGAAGATGACATCATGACTCGAGCCTGAACTCGATTCAACCAGATTTGCACAGGAAACAACCTGACATCACCACCACCACCACTCCCAGCGAATCATCCCGATCCTTCGGAAAGACCGCGAGGCGAGTCATGACTCACAGAATTTGCCGGAAGAATTTTCCAATGCGCACAAGACAGCATTTCTTTGCGTACCTGCGTCGCATGCTGCACCAGCTGCACCCTGCCATCCTTCAGGTGGATGAGACTGACACCCATCCTCCTCAGCAGCTCCAGATGTTCCGGGTTGTTTGCCATGAAGTCCTGAGCTCTCAGAGGAGGCGCCCCCATGCCGGGCTCCCTGGATGGACCGTCAAACAAAGATGAAGTCAAATGCAGTATACGATAAACCCTTGCCTTAGAGCAATTCTTTCCCTGTTGGCCACGGTGGTCAGTGAATTCGGAAATGATGACCTATAAGGAGCAGGGCGCGGGCAGCTCTTGTCCACAGCGCTGCGAATGGGTTCCCTCAGGTTACGGGGGAAGGCCGGGTCGGGGAACAGGAGACGCGTGTTGGGACAGGTCCAGTCGAAGTTGGAGTCGTCCAGCTCCTGCTCCAACTGAGGCGTCTTGACCACATAGTTTCGGATTACAAAGCGCTGCCTTGGAATGCGTCTCGCTAACGCTAACGAGGACAATTTACCGTTCGGTTGGTGAGAACGGACGACGCGTAAGGTGCTGTCGAGAGAGACAGAGGCAACAGATGCGCTTCGGTCGTGAAGATGTAGTCCTCCACGTCGAAGCGAAGGTCACCCGGGTCGGCGAAAAGCAGAAAAAGGTACTTGAACATCTCGGCGAGGAAGAAGGAGTCCATTCTATGAGGAGAAGAGGTCATTTCGACGTTGAATTGAATATGAAGTCATGAGCTTCCATGGCACAATTTGGAATTCAACCAAAATGTTTTGAAATGTGGATACGGTTTCTCTTCACAAATTTACAGTTTTACAGCTTATATATAT